AGAGCTTTTGTTCATTTGGGTCAGTACAGTCGTGCTCAACTCGATGGCACCTAACAAAAATAATAGCCATGTGATCCACTGAGTTTTCACTGGCTGGTCTTCAGATATAGATTACCAGGCCTTTCTTCCAGACTTGTTTTAAATTCTGTGGAAGTCTATCCAGCATCATAGCTCCATACGAGCCCCCACCGACAGATGGGTGATGGCTGCACCGGGACATGTACTAGCTGGGAAGCAAGCCGAGGTCCCCAGCAGGCAGGTTGCAACTGTGGCCTGTAATGGCCTGGTACACCCCCTCCTGTGTTAATGTGTGTCTTCTCACTTCCTGACCTCAAGTGCTTCTTCCTGCCTCTCACCAGTGAAGTGGCCAGTCAGTTCCTCTGCTATGCCAAGAAGTTTCAGATTTATGGGTTTGACAAGAGCCTTGTAATTCAGATTGCAGCTTGAAAGCCCAATTTCCAGAAAGGTCCCTGAAGCCCCCAATTTAATGGGACCACTTGTACTCTGGTTACCATCACTGGTTATGAACACTGACAGTGATACCTTCTGGCACTTTCTCTGTTTCTGCTGTGGTTTTTAGAGAGCAGGGATCTTGTCTGCTCTTCTGTTTCCTGAGCACCAATAACAGTGCCTGGTGCTCGGGTGCTCCTGTTGTCGTTGTGGGTGACAGTGTATCAGGGCAGGGCTGAGCTCCCTCTACCCTGCACAGACTCTAGTGTTGTTGTTGTTTTGGGGGGGCAGGTCTAAAGCCTATCCAAAGGTCCGCCTACTACCTTTTCCTGCGGTTGCTTGGGAGGAGACCTCTGCCCAGGCCTTGGCAGCCAGTGGGGCAGGAGGAGAAGCTGGCACAGGCACTCACCCAGATGGCCCAGCTGGAAGGGCCAGAGATGCAAGGTTGCAAAGTAAGTCAGCCATGGTGAAGACCTGGAACCCACCTCTCTGCCAGCAATGAAATTCCCCAGAAGAAATCAGGAGGTAGGACCAGCAGGTCCACAGTGCCCCAGGATTGGGGAAACTCTTGACCAACAGGACTGGGCCCAGGCGACAGTGTGGGCATGTGGCCCTCCACCCGACTTGGGGCATGGAAGACACTGTGGGACTGGACAGTGGCATCCCTTTGACGGGGCACTGATTCAGGTGACAGTGAGAGAGAAGCAGGGCTGTCCCGGCTGAGTCACCTCACTGCTGTTTGCATCTGCAGGGGAGACGTGGAAAGTTTCATGAGCTCAGGCCCAGGCCCGAGGCTGGACCTCAGGAGAAGGGTGGGGACACTGAGGCCATGTGACAAGACACAGCCCCTTGCCACCCTTACCTGCCCGGCAGGTTTCCCCTTCCACCTCTGCTCCTGGCAAGCTTGGGAGTCACCCAATTGCTGAGCAAGTGGACAGTACCTAGCTGGCTGGGGGCGTTAGATTGGCAGTAATGACCATGATGATGAAAATGATACTTGTCAGTGACTGACTGGTCTGGCCAGGGCCAGCCGCCGTGCTCAGCAGTTTCCACTGTGATTTCATTAGTGTTCACCAGTAGACACACAATTACTGTCCCCATTTCAGAGGTGGGAGCTTAGGCGCCAGGGAGTGGTTTTTGCACGGGGTTACTTGTCAGGGAGTGGCAGGGGTGGGATTGGGACTTGGGGCTCTACAGAGCAGAGTCCAAATTCTCTGGTGAGGAGTGTCCCTCCTGAGAGGCTCCTGTGCTTTCTTCACCTCCTCTAGGAAGCCCTAGGCACACCTGACCTGTCACTGCTTTCCCACTCATGTTACCCAGACAGGGGGAGCTCCCGAGGCAGAACTGGTGAACTACAGCCTGCCTTCCTCTCTCGGGCGGGGAACCCGTGCAGTTCTTCCACTGGACCTCCTCACTCAGTGGTGGGTGAATAAATGGAGCTGTAAATGCATCATTTTTGCCCACCTCATGGAGGACTGTCACTCATCTTTTGTCACCAGGTTGCAGTCAGGAGAAGATTCGGCACACACCTAGCACAGCCTCCACTGCAGAGGCCCTGCCGGCTCAGGTTCTCCCTGGGCAGGGCTGGGGCATGAGAAAGTGGAAGGGGTGGGGGCAACATGACTCCAGCCCTAACCATGGGGTTCAGCTCTCAAAGATCTCCACTACTGCTCCCCCAAGAACAGAGCTGAGAATAAAAGCACCAGCTAAGGTCTTCACCTCAAGGGATCTCATTCCGTGGGTGGGTGGGCGCGGGTCTCTTCCATGAGGGATCTGGAGCCGGGAGCAATTCCAACCATGTGTAGCCTGAGGACGGAGGCAGTGGGCACACCAAAGTGCCCCAGACACCTGTGCCCTTCCTGGGGTGGGTCCAGTGTCCCCCCCACCATGCTCCATCCAGAAAAGCACCCAAGAACAAATTAAGCCAGGACCAGGCAGAAGCTATTATAGATCATGCTTTTAATACAAACTTAAAAAAATCTGGAACAATATAAACTGTACAGATTTGATCAATCTTTTTTGTTCTTTTTTTTTCTTAAACTAAATCTCTAAACACACCAATGTTCCATTCCAAAATATTGCACAACAGTCTGAATACAAAATGCTTGATTGTATTCCTCCTTCACTAAAGAAAGTCCGTTCCCAGGCCCCCAGCTCCTCTCCACACTCACCTCAATGCCCCCCTTCCCATCCCTAGCTAGGGAGCAGACTAGAGAATCTACAGCTCACTGCATTGAGAAAAGACATCATTCTGGACTAGAAGTTTACATTCTTCACAAAACAATCCACCTTTTGATTTGTTCCTGGGGAAGGGGCGGTGGGGAGAGAGAGAGGAGGGGGAAAGGTGAGAAAAAAAATCTTATTCTCCTTTTTTTTTAAAGTTTGTTTTTTTTCCTGAAAAAATATCTTTCTCTCCTCTTTTTTAAGAAAAAATCTTGAAAAGAAAAAAAATTACGTATTTTACGTTAGAAATATACATATATTATATATACCTCTTACATTTTACAAATGTAGCAAATTATTTAATACAAACGGACACCAAAAAATGTAAAAAAATAAAAAAAAAGAAGTCTTCCTACGAAACCAGGTAAATTAGTGCAGGTTTTCTGTTTTTCTTCTCTTAAAAAAAATAAAATTGAAGCAAAAATGCCTAGATTTGAGACGAGACAGACTGAACTGGGCCTTGAAGCCCAGCCCGGGAGTCATGCTCCTGAACATACGTATTCTTCGGATTTCAAGACACTGAGGGGTTGGGCTCCCCTCTCCCTGTATGTGGTTGAGAACAAGCAGGCCTGGGTGTGGGGGTACCTGTGTGTTTGAATTGGGGGAGGACTTAGGAGGAGACTAAGGCAGCATCCAACCTTTCCCAGAGAGCAGCTATCCACCTGGGCCTGTTACCTGTGTGAGAGCGGAGGACACGGGAGAGGGGGCCCAGACTAGGCTGGCCCCTGAGAAGTCTGGGGTGGGGACAGCTGGGGATGGCCAAGAAGCCTGGCACTGTCCCGCTGGGGGAGGTAGAGCTGGTGCCTATTTCGGGAGTGGTGGCAGGCGGTATCTGGGCTGGATGCGCTGCCACAGCAGCTGCCCACCGGGGGTTTCTGGGGAAGGAGTGGGATGGGGGCCCAGATACCAGAAGCAGGGGCTTTGGTGAGGGGTCTTGGTGAGGAGCCCTGAGGCTATGCTGCCCACCTGCCAAAGCATTGTGGTATGAAGCTGGCCCAGCAGGGGCGGGGAAGCCACCTCTCTCCTGGCAGAGGCAGCAAGTGTCCTAGAAGTCAGACACCACGTGGATGGTCATGGCTATGGCAGGCCCAGGTGTCCACTCCTCAGCACCAAGACCCAGGTGAGTTGGGCCGGGCAGTGAGGGGGCAGCAAGAGGATTGTGAAGTTCCTAGCTAGGCAGTGGCACAAACCAAACAGACTTCCAGGCAAAGACCCCAGAGTCTCACGTCAAGGCCCAGCATGGCCACCATACTCCCTGACCAACCTCTCCTTCACCTTGAGTGTTTGGGCCAGCAGTGTCCACATGGGCAAAGGGCACAGAACAGGAGGGTCCAAGTCAAGGGCTTCTCCTAGGCATTGGACATGGGCATTTCCTCAGCTTCTCTGAGCTATCCTTTTTTTTTTGGTCAGAAACAAACAAAAGTGCAGACAGCTCCGCAGCCTGGAAGCCGGCTCCTGGTGCAGCGTGGCCCCGGGAGTGTCAGGCTCACCACGCACCCCGCACCCCACCCACCTCCAGCTTCGGAGGAAGAAGCACTTGCTGCAACGCGGAATCACATGCAGAGGGGGTGTTTCACATGGCTTGGAATTACTTAAAACAGGGTAGCAAATCACACGCATACACACACACGTGCACACGCCACCCCAACATCTCCCCGCTTGCCGCCCACCACTTCAGGCCCAGGAAGGGGACTATTTGAGAGAAGTCACGTGGACTGATGGCTGGGTCTGGCTTTCTCCAGGCCCACGAGTGAGTCTGGGCCGGGGCAGGGCCACAGGACAGAGATGAAAGGAATTCAACTAGACAAGGCAGAGCCCACCACAGCCACAGACATCAGCTGCAGGGAGAGGGTGCAAGGGGCCCAGACCTGAGAGTGGGGGGCGGGAGGCCTGGGGCCAAAGCTGTGGGGCCGGCAGGGCCCAGAGGCCTGCTGAGGTTGGATGGCTTTGAGAAAGAGGGTAGCTGGGTGACAGGCTCAGGGCCGGCCTCTCCCTGCAGCTCTCCGTCCCTGGGAGCTGGAACACTCCAACCCCAAACCAGGCATGCGGAGGGGCTGAGAGGAAACAGGGAGCACAATTCACATCTGGACCATTCTTAGCACGGGAAGCCACTAATTAAAGATGTTATGTAGAAATCTACATGTGTAAAAAAAAAAAAAAAGAAAATATAAAATCCAAACCAACCAAAGAAGAGGCAAGGAAATGAGTTACACGCGGGTCGGTGCTTTGGCAGCCCCCTCACCCGACTCCATGCCTGGGCTGGATCTTATTTTAGAAGTGAGAAGATTGGAGATCTTTTTGTCTTTTTCTTTTCCTCGTTTTGTTCTTTTTTTTTTTCCTTTTCTTCCTCTTTTCTGTGGTCTCGGGTGCTCCTGGCCCCGGGGATGGGTGGGTGGTCAGTTGGCCAGCACGACGGGCTGGAAGGGCTGGCTGGGGTACTGCATGGTGTTGAGGTTGTAGCTGAGGCCGTCCACAAAGGGGGTCTTCTCCAGGAAGAGGCTGTTGGCGCCGCCCCCAAAGACCTGGGCCATGTCGAAGGTGCTGCTGTTGCAGGTACCGGCTCCACTGCCCCCGAAGGGGACAGGAGTGCTACTGCCCTGGCCGTCAGCCCCGTCGAAGAAGAGGCTGGGGGAGCCACTGCCGCTGTATACGAACTCCTTGGCATTGGGCGAGAGCTGGGACTGCGGGGCCGGGCTGGCCGCGATGAAGTTCAGAGAATGCATAGACAGAGAGAGGCTCTGGTGCTTCAGCAGGCTGGTGGGCGAGCGGGCCGGGCGGGGCTGCTGCTGTGGTGGCTGCTGGCCACTCCCCCCGCTGCCAGCAACACCCCCGCTGCTGGGCGCTCCACCGCCCTTCTTCATCTTGGTGGAGCCAAACTTGGTGGCAGCGAAGGAGGCAGTGGTGAAGGTGATGGGCTGGGCCGAGCGGGGGATGAAGGTGGGGCTGGGCGACTGGCCGAAGGATGGCGATGGGGAGTTGGACATGGAAGCGTCCTGACTGCCAATGGGCACAAAGACCTGGGCCTCGGGGTTGAAGCTGCTCTTGATCTCCTTGTCCAGTTCGGGGGCCCCGCCGCCCTCACTGTCATCCAGGTACAGCACCTTCACGGCTCCCTTCTCGCCGATCTGGTAGGACACCTCGAAGGGGTCAATCCAGACACTCAGCTCCTCAGGCACGTTGGCCCGCACATCTTCCACTGCCAGGCCGCTCCGCTTGGCGGCCAGCTCCACCACGGGGTCCACTGTCTCCCCAATGTGGACACACCGGAAGCCGGAGCCCTTCAGTGGCTTGTCCGGGTACCAATGGCCCTCGTACTTCTTCCGCAAAAGTCGTTCGAGCTCTTCCCCGAACAGGTCTGCCCGGCGCCGGGGCAGCTTGTTGTATAAATACGAGATGATGAAGTTCAGAGCCATTTTGATTTCCAGCTGCATGATCTTGTCTGAGGCAGAGAACTGGTGAAGGGTACACGCACAGGCCACAGGCAGCGACAGATGGCAGGTGGGCAGCCTCGGGTTCCAGAAGGCTCTGGAAAATGAGAGAGGAGGAGACGGGCTCCGTGAATAGATGTGTAAGGGCTGGTGACAAACAGAAATGAACACCAACTGCAAATGACCAGGAAAGGAGCACCAAATTCATACCACGTGGCTGTTTCTGCTCTGCCAGCACCTGGCGTCATCGGTCATCAGTTCAATACCCTTAGTCTCCCCATCTGGAAAATGGACCACTGTGAAGACTGCACACACCCTTCCCACTTCCTAACTCAGCTGGGTAAAGGCAGGGCTCTTCAGTATCTCGACAGAATTGTACCCCTACTGTCACAGCCCGAGAGAAGTTTAAAATGTTTAGTCTTCCTACTGGCATGGACAAGGACATAAGTCACGGAACAGGAAGCTGGTAGGAGCCATCAACTCGCCCCCAACATACGTGGCAACAGTGGCAAATTTTCACGGGGGATTTGGACACCCACTCTCCTAGTCTTGGGTTGTGGAAATGATGTGGGAACCCATGGAATAATCAAGACTTGCATTTCCATCCAGAAAAGTCTCCAAGAATAGAGACAAGACCATGACTTCAGGAAGAAGTTAAGACCTGCTAGAAGCAGAGGTGTGGGCCCAGGACCCCAGCGTGGAGAAGAGAAGCGGAATGGGGCTTTGCTGTATTTGCAGCACCCCTGCGGAGGCCTGAGGTTCTGGCTAGACTGGAGGTACTAAGGGGTGGCAGAGGGAAGAAATTTTCCACCACCTCACAGCCTCCAGCTGGGGATCCATCATCACTCAGCCTCCTGGGCCTGTGTGACCACCTGTCCTGGGCAACGGTTCAGCTTTGTCAAGTATTTGGAGATCCCTGGGGAGAAGGCCGCCTGCAATAAACACTTTGATTGTTATTTTGGGATTCAATCACAACCAGTGCCCACTGAGGTCAGAGAGGCTTACTCCCTTGGTCAGGGCTAGCCTCATTTCTCAAGATATGCTCCCTACAAAAATCATCTCACTTTCTGCAAAAGGGTGGATCCTGGGCTCCTTGGGGAGAAATTCAACTGGAAAGGTTGCCTCCGGGGGGGGGGGGGTGGGGGGTGTAGGCCTAGAATATGTTCCTGTGTAGCTGTGCTGCTGAGCTCAGCGTGCGACCAGGCTGATCTATGAGCAGTCAAGGGCATGTGTCCTGGAAAGGATCGGGCTGGATTTGGATTCAAATCCCTGCTGGGTCGGGTCTGGAGTATTCGAGGCTGGTGGATTTAGAATTTTCTGAATGCCTGCCCTAAACAATTTCACATCACTCTGAAGTATGGGGCCATGGCTCCCAGTAGCATTTTTTTTAAACTAAATCCTCAGAAAACGATCCCTGTGATGAATGTACCACAGCAGAGGCTGTGGAAGCACTGGATGCATCCAGAAAAGGTAAAGGGAAAACATCCACAGTGGCTAACCCCAGTCCCACCGTGCTCTCAGGCATGAGGCAGCAGGGGTGCCCAACCACAGCCCCTTTCAGCCTCCAGCGCTCTCTCAGCATGCTCACGACTCAGTCCCTTCTCCAAGCCTCCATCATACACTTAATCTTCACGTTTCTTTGCTCAATGTCTCTTCTCATCCTAGATGAATTCCAGGGTCTTTCAGTGTTTGCTAAGAATGGTGGAGGAATAAGCTATCTGTTTATGAGGACTGGGTTCTTAGCTACAGGTGCAAGCTAGGCATCAGACTGCAATCTGCTCTCAAGAAGGGAGTGGTCCACCAGTTGTATCTGACACAATTGTCAAGAAGGTTGGTACCAGTTCCCAGACTAAAACTGGAGTAAAAAACTGTTTCCAAGATGTTCTTGGGAAGTAAAAGACCCTTCCCATGTTGCCCTCGGGCTTCTTAAAATGTGCCTTTTGACAGAACACCCAAAACTCAAGGCTTCTACGCCTTTCTGGGCCTCCTCAAACTCTGGCCACATGATTGCCATCTAAGTGAACGTCCCCCAAAGAGTTCAGTCCTTAAATGGGAGCCTTTCTAAACTCCAGCCAAAGCTATTGGGCAATCAGCCTCACACCCCTAAATACAATAGAGCCACTGTCATCAGCCTGCCACCAAGCTACTCATTTTCTGCAGCACAAGCAACTCAAGCTGCAGAGCAGTTTATACCTTGTTACTGCCACGCAAATAAGGAAGTCTCTAATGCCACCTTCGCCTCTTTAATTGGCGAACAGGCCAGGCCAGATGGCTGTGGGGTGGGACTTCACAAAAAACGCCGGACAACCAGAATGAGATTTTCTGCTCTATCAGCTCAGGCTCTAATTGGGATTCCAAGAAGCTTATCAGACAGGGGATTAAAGCTCGGCTGCCGTCTTGTCCTTAGCTACAGAGAGAATGAACACTCCGATGAGTCTTCTTTCTAAGGCTATGGACAAATTCTACAGCTTAAATACACAAAAATAAAAATGGAAATGTGGTAGGATTAGGACCCTTGGAAATAACTATCCTTCAATAAAAGGACCAAGAAGACTGAACTTAGTGGGTTGACTTCTGAGATCTTTTTCAACCCTGAATCACTTGAAAAATATCAAAAAGGTAGTAAAAAAACCCAACCAAAATAAGTGTCTAATAGTATCTACTTTTTGTCAGCATAGTAACAAGTTAAAAAAATAGGAGCAAAAAAAAAAAAAAGGAGCAAAGTCTTAATTTTATGAGATTCTTAGCCTCTTGCACTTGTTTACATCTAGCAAGTAGACTATTCCTAGGAGCACAAAGTTAAATCTGCATCCAGATCCCTGAGGTGACTTATGTTTTATTGATTAAGAGTCCAGTGAGCAACAAACATGGGAGAAGACCATGCATGAAGCCAAGAGGGAGCTCCAGGCAGTGGGTGACATGTGATTGAGGGGACTTCTGACAAAAGGAACAGGTTAAGGACAACATCGTTGTGTTCTTAAGGTGGGTGGGAAGAAGGGAAGTGGTGAGGCAACCTATCAAACAAATAGCTACTTCTATCACACTGAATTTAAAGTTCTGAAGATGGGAACTGGGAGAGGGTTAGAGCTGAGGGAATTAAGGGGAGATCTCGATTTTAACATGCTGGGAGGAACAGGAGACAGACAGCACCCCACAGTTTGCAGGGGTGGTGGCCCAGAAAGTCAGGTGTGGGTTGCCTGCCTTCTAGACTCGAGGACAGACGGCCTCACTATGCCTTGCCTCACTCTGTGTTCCCAAAATATGGACTGGGTGTGACTACTGGGCTGCAAGATCCCTTTCTGGGACACACCTCAGAAGCCAGGAAGCCTCGACTGAGCCCCATCAGAGGCGGGGAGACTGCTGGCCAAGGCGAGCTCTGCACGCTGGGAACTGTAGTCCTTACACACTTCAGGTTCAAGTTGAAGTGAGTGACCTACTTTCTGGGCACACTGCACTTCCCTGCGTGCTTCGCGAAGGGCCGAACCACGCATGTTCAGTAAGGGGAGCTGGCTGGGGGTCGAAGAGCCAGAGAAAAGTTTCCGATGCACATGCGCTCTGTGGCGGAAGGGCGCTCCCGCCCCCAATACATTTTATATACATTTTACCAGTAAGGCCTACTCCCCTTACTGTACCACCCCACCGCCTCGGCTTTGCTAGAGCGTGAGCTTACACCCCTCCCGTGACTGCTCAGCGGGGGATCTGCTTCTAATGAGTTTTTCCTGGGTGCGGAGAATGGGTGGGCGAGAGGTCCGGTTCCCTCTCCCACCCTAACACCCTAACAGGGAACCTAACTGCCGGGGTGGGGGGAGAAATGGGGGTGTCTGTGCCGGGGGGTCGGTGTCGGGACGAGCCTGGTCACTACTGTCCGCGCCCCTGCGGAATCACAGGGATCAAGCCCAGTTATTCCGTCCCTTCTTGCCAAAGAAAGTCCCAGCGCCCCTGGGGAGGCGCCGGGCGTGGGGCCAGCAGGCCCAGGGCTCACCTCCCTTCTAATCCAAGCCCGAGTAACTAGACCCAGGCGAAGGGAATGCGGGGAGGCCCCGGTCTGGCTCGCCTCTGCCCCGCCGGAAGAACCCACCATCTGACACCTAAACAGCAGCTCCCCGCGCGGCCAGCCGGGGCCGGGGCGTGCCCTCCCCTCGGACCAGACTGACCAGCTCGGCGGCCAGCTCCCCACTGGGCGCTAAACCTCCCTAATCCTCCCTTCTGCACAAGCTGCTTCCCCCCCACCCCCCACCCCCCGGCTCCGAGGGGGGTGGGGCGGGCGTCCCGCTAAGCACTGGAAGGGTTTCTGCTGGGGAGTCGCCCGATGCCAGGCCGGGGTGCAGAAAGGGAGAAAAGGCCAGTTCCAAGGGAACTCTCCGCCGGCCCCAGAGCGGAAAGCCGTTGTGTTGGGGTGCTGGTCTTTTCCGGGGGTGGCAGAGGGCCGGCCACCCTACCCGCCTCGCTGTCCCCTCCTGGCCTCCCCGGTCAAGGGCACGGTCCAGCCGAGAGGGCAGGGCGGGGAGAAGGCCGGGGCAGGGCTCGCCCTTGCAGGCACCAAAACCAAAACCAAGCAGCACCCACTCCCTGGTCTCGCTCGAGGGGGGCACTGATTCCCCCACCCAGTTTTCCCCAACACATCTAAAGTAAAAAAGGGGGGGTTACCTGGCTCAGGGCCAGAAGCTGGTTACCACTCAGGGGTCCCGTTGCTAACAGGGGAGGGGGCCGCCCGCCATTCCTTGGGCTCCACCGGGCAGAAATCAACCCTGTTAACTCGCAGCCCGAAAGCCAAGCAGGAAAACAAGGGCTGGCTCCCCTCCTGCCTCTCATTTATTCAGTGCTGGAGGGTTCCACGGGGAACAAGGAAAATCGAGTCAGTCTCGGGAAAAGCTGGGGGGGTACACGCATCCCCAGGCGCGGGGGTCACACCGGGACCTGGGGGAGAAGAGGGCTCTGTCCAAGAAGAAGGCACATACGAAAGGCAGCAGGGCACAGGGAAACGGGGTTCCTGGGGGGAGGCTGGCCGACGCGGAGGG